AGTGACACTTTGCTTGACAAGCGAATTTTACGAAACCGAGCGAAAGCAACATTTGCGAGTCAAACAAAGGCACTTTTGATCCGAATGGAACATGCTATTTTTTCTGCAACCGAAAGAATTAACTGAAATAAATATGTGAAGTAACCACCAATGTGACTTACTTGACAGATTATTATAATAGTAGAGTGCCAATCGAATCCTATCGTTCACCCCGTAGGAAATCGGAGGTAAAAAGCTGTGACATGGCTAGAATTGTTACCTACCATCTCCAGATCACGGATCCACTTGTCGTCAAAAAATCGTCCTGTGCGTTTGGGGGGTAGGGGGTAATTTATAAAAAAATATGGATTATTTTTTTATTTGTGGAAAATATTGATGGGTTCCAGAACTTCCACCCTGTCGAATCTTGATTTCGTGTGACAAGTAGAACAAATTATAGAAAATTTTGAAATTTACTAATTACATTACGATATATGAGAGAATCATATTTCAAACGCCTATAACTCAAAACTTGTAAATTCTCGTTAAATTGTTTTTCATATACCTCGCATTATCTCAGTAACTACAACGTTTATCAAAAAAATTCTTCAAATAATGTCGATGCGCCTATGTTTCAAGATGCGAATGGTTCTTTGATTTTGAAAATCGAAGCATAAATAAGGAAGATATTGGGAAAATCATAATGCAATGCAGGTACCACGGACGAACGCGTTTCGCCGCATTCGTACCCCTATTCTCCCCGCAATACCCGCGGATATCGTAGTTCCATACGCTTTCGTTATACACATCAACATTGAGGCGTTGACCATTGCATCTAATGGTGACTTATTGTGAATTAATTATTCGATATTTTGTACTGTGCTCTATTTCAATAATTAAATAAGTATTGATTAGCTAACGAAATCTATTATTGTAAATTTATCATAACATATATGTTTCTCTAGATAAAAGATGGAAAGTACTAGCAATTCAGACACTGATCTTGAATATGTCTTGAAGTTGAAGATTCCTTTCCAACAGAGTACAGAATCATCGAGAAAATGTTTCATTTGTGGAAAAGATGGTCAACTCCTTCGTTGTACAGAATTATCGATAAAAACATTTGAAAGTTGTATGAATATAAGAAAAAACCTCGGAAAAAACTATGCGAGGCAAATCGTAATGGAACTTCAGAGAATTGATGATATTTTCAATGAAAATAAAGGTCAATCGATCTTCTGGCACAGGAATATTGAGAACTGGAGACAATAGTGTCAGGAATAAAACGCTTTCTATAGTGAAATTGATGTGAAGGTATTTTTGATGTGTCTTATAAAAGAATTTTCTACCAAAAACGTTCAAATAAGAGTCAAGTTTTGACCTAGTATTGACTACCAACATTGTTTATTGCCATGGAAGTCAAGTATCATAACCAATGCTTTGTATCGAATTGGAAACATTATAGAGGATCACTGAGTGAGAATAAAGTTGTCATACCACACATGACAATAAATTTGATAATCTGATAAAATTAATAGATGGTGCAGATTTTCTAATGAAAAGGGGTATACTTTCAACTGTTTATATCAAAAATATGCCGAACTTGGTGGCAAAACTGGTAGGAAAATCTTAAACGAAGATTACTGTCTGTAGGTTAATCGAGAAGGTGAAACATTCATTTTACTTGATTTTTTGGGATTTTCTCTCCTCGTTTCTTTGGACGTTTCGGCAACGAATCTACTCATGTTCTCAACATGAAAATGCAACTTCCAAAGAAAAATGTTTTGCATTTTTATGTTGAGAACGGGGCAAATTCGTTCCCGAAACGTCCAGAGAAACGAGGAGAGAAAATCTCGACAAAGTAAAATGAATTTATCGAAGAAATCAGAAAGCACTACGACAAGGAAATATAAATTATCAAATAAATCAAGACGTTCTAATGAGTCGTAATTTGTGATTCCAAAAGTGACAAAAACTCATCTGATTCATACACATATAAAGAACAAAGTGAAATTACAGAAGATAACTCCCCTGACTTTGTATGCATCAGATATGACCCAGATACACAAATTTTTTTGAGATATTTATCAAGATATGAGAGATATTCCAGATTATAAACAACTCAAAAATATGAATGTCAAGGAATACAAGGATATGATACCAGAAAAACTTTTTTGAATTTGTTGCCTTATACACAATAAAGTTGATTCAGTTGATTCAAAGGTGTTGAGTATCTGATGTCAAGGTATAATACTCGCTTATTCGAAATTCAAAAAACTCACACCAAAACACATTGGTTTGGGAATAATGATTCATCAAGAGACATGATCGAAAAAAATTATCGTAGCTTTGTGTTCTTGTGGACACTGTATCGTATTTACGTGTATTTAAAACTTCGCAATTCGATAGGTATCAAATAATGTTTCTTTCAAGTTTCCACAAGGATATCTTATTTTTATTTCAATATTATATGCATCATGTTTTGTTTCAATATTTGTCAATTTGATTATAAATGAGATGGTTGACATTTTACTCTGATGGATAAGAAATGTTCATTCGAGATAGAATCATGCATGAAATAAATGGAGGGCACTTCCAATCAAACAGCAAGTAAAAATAAATTTCTGTTAACTTGGAAAATAGCGATCAATTCCATTTCTACCGTGAAATCCAAGATCGTACTATTCTGTAACACTCAGTAATCCATATTTACGGTGATCGTACTAGGACGGCCGAGGGCGTTGCGGGGAGAATCGGGGTATGGAAGCTGCGAATCGCCGTCCTACGTACTACCTGCATCGTATTATGATTTTCCCAATATCTTCCTTATTTATGCTTCGATTTTCGAAATCGAAGAACCATTCGCATCTTGAAACATAGGCGCATCGACATTATAACAAGTATTTTTTTGATAAACGTTATAGTTACTGAGATAATGCGAGGTATATGAAAAGCAATTTAACGAAAATTTACAAGTTTCGAGTTATAGCCGTTTGAAATATGATTTTCTCATATATCGTAATGTAATTGGTGAATTTCAAAATTTTCTATAATTTGTTCTACTCGTCACACGAAATCAAGATTCGACAGGGTGGAAGTTCTGGAACCCATCAATATTTTCCACAAATAAAAAAATAATCCATATTTTTTTATAAATTACCCCCTACCCCCCAAACGCACAGGACGATTTTTTGACGACAAGTGGATCCATGATCAGGAGATGGTAGGTAACAATTCTAGCCATGTCACAGCTTTTTACCTCCGATTTCCCACCAACTTTTGATCTAAGCGACTTACGGTTCGTCTGGCACTCTACTATAATACCTTTATTATAATAACATAGGTAAGTAGATAGAGGCAATACCTCAGACTACTTTACATTAGAATATTGTTAGACGATGACTTTACTTTGTTACAATTTGTGCTGACAAGCATGAATTCAATACTATACCCGAAACGTGAATGCCGTGCCATATGTATGCAATGCAACAAAAAATCTGTGTGGTGAGAACATTCTACCCGCATTTACAGATCAAGTTTATTCAATCTTCAAGGATGTTCGAATTGTAGTTTCATTATAAATACAACCACAGAGTAACCCATTTGTGTATTCTATTGAATCGATGAATTCATTTGGACCAGGTGTCAGGACTAATAGCAAATACCGCGCCAGGGCCAGATATAGGAGGAAGAAGTGGAAAATGATAGCGATTATTTATTGCTCCCCATATTCCACTGTGTTTGGCTCGGTAATCAAGTGAAGGTGAACAATATCGTTGTGTGAGACAAACAAATTTTGCTGGCCGTGATTATTCAAGAACATGTCATCCAACGAGAATAAATGAAATACAGATCAAGCATGTATGTGAATCTTGAAGGCTTTCCTGATCGAAACAAAAATACTTATGCTTATAATTATAATATGGTGTATTTATATCTCCAGCATGAGTATGAAATGCCAAATCTGGCGAAATCTGGAAAAAATCAGGTGTGGCGTCCCAACCGAAGTTACCAACCATATAACAATGTTGTTTATTCTTGATGTCCTAGTGCACCCTTTTTAGTTTCTAGGAGCTAACGTTCAAATTTAGGCCCTAGGAACTAAAAGTGTTGCCTAGCAACATACCTATTTTTGTGTCAGTAATGAAAACGTCAATTCGAGAGCTGATTTTGATATTAAAATGGACGACTTGTGTGTCGGTAACGATGAGAATCTTCTCGTGGAAAAAGTTGAAGTGGTTGGTTTCTCTGTGGTTTTATGAGTTTTGGGAGTGCTAAATCTGCATCTGAAGTTTGCAAAGTAAATTTCCTATAAAACCTCCAGAGATATTTGCAATAAACAGCGAAATTTTCGCCTCACACGCCTTACCTACCTACCAGAAAACAACTTCTTTTTCCTAGCTATATGCCACGACGAACATTGAATTATATCTATTGGACATATGTTAGTGAAGAAATTCCCTGAAACTATTCAAGATGACATATTATAAAAAAAAGAATCCATATCTGGACATGTTTTATTGTTATATCATAAAAGTTCATTTTGTGATCACTTTCCTCGACAAATTCCAAGAAAGATCAGACAAATTCCATTAGAACTGCTCTTAGGTATGCACGATGTGTTTCGAACATAATAGGGATACCCTTTCGTGAGCTCCAAGAGATAATGAAAATTTGTCCCAGCCAATTTCATCCTCATGAATCCACCACTGCCGAGTCAATGAAAGAGTGTAATAATTAATAACAATACACAACGGCATTTCTTTTACTTCTTCTATGAAGTGAAGTGGGGAAATAATGGAAGAAATATGTGGGCGTGATGTGAATCTATGAAAAGAAAAGCATTTATTTCTTGTGACTGTAATTTCCTGAATAACCTACTTTAATCGAGATTATACACATCTTGAGAGCATTGCAATCCCATCTGATGGCAATTTTATATGGCCCGTTATTCGTTGATTGTTTGTATTGATATGATACAATCTTCAGAAAGGTTTGAACATTTCTACCATTTGTTTCAGGCTCAAGGTCAAGATATACCTCTCACTGAATTCGAAGGGATCGATGTATTGGGAAATATAATCGAATCAAGTATTTTGTCGCCCAACAGGGAATTCTATGGGGATATGCACAACATGGGACACATCATGATATCTTACATTCACGATCCAGACCACAGACATCTAGTAAGTATTAATTTAAGCATCCCGAAAAGCCAACTTATAGGCCTGTCATTACAACATTTTCAAAATTCGAAATAATACCAAGGGATGTACGAAAACGTAGAAATGAGTATAGGAAACGTTTATTTGTAATTACTGTTTGTACAGGGTATCCCAATTTGGGCACTTTTGCGGGGTATCTCCCTTATCAGTAAAGATAGAGCATTGCGGTTTTCGCGACAGTGTGCTACTTTTTTATGAAATTAATAATGGCGCAAGCAGAATTGTGATGGCTCTTCCGGTTGTCGAGATACAGGGTGGAATTGAAAAATATCACTTTTCAGGCACCCTCCGTGTCTCAGTTATCTTTGAACTTATCGAAGAAGTTGAAACTTGTTTTCATAGAGTTTTTCTCGTAGAATCCAGTGGCGTAGTTATTTTTTTGCTAGCACCTTTTGTTTTTTAGTTATGGAGCAAACATATGTTTTTTTAAATGGAACACCCTGTATATTATTTCATATATACATTGAGCATGAAGTGGGCTTTCCAAAAATATATAATTGTATACAATTATTTTCCATTTAAAAAAACATATGTTTGCTCCATAACTAAAAAACAAAAGGCGCTAGCAAAAAAATAACTACGCCACTGGATTCTACGAGAAAAACTCTATAATAACAAGTTTCAACTTCTTCGATAAGTTCAAAGATAACTGAGACTGAAAAGTGATATTTTTCAATTCCACCCTGTATCTCGACAACCGGAAGAGCTATCACAATTCTGCTTGCGCCATTATTAATTTCATAAAAAAGTAGCACACTGTCGCGAAAACCGCAATGCTCTATCTTTACTGATAAGGGAGATACCCCGCAAAAGTGCCCAAATTGGGATACCCTGTACAAAAGTGAACAAATTTAAAACACTTGAATAATCATCTACTGAGATTAAACGGGACATTTGACACATTAGATACATAATGAAATAACAAGATACATGAATCGTCGAGTTCCGCAAAGAGTCCGAATGTATGTACAGTCATCTTCAGAGAACATGTCGTATAAGGACGGTGTCAGCTATCTTGGTTATCGCTGCAATAAGAGCGCTCATACCGTCCAACCGCGACATGTTCACTGAAGACGAGTGTACGAGTCTTGAAATGAAGAATCGTGCCAGGTATAAAAATTAGAAAACAATTCATTTGATTTCGATTTTTCTCAAACTTCGTTTCGTGATAACTTGTGAAAGTTACGTTATATGTATAAAGAATACATAATATATTTTTTGCAATACATTTATATGTAAGGGTCAAATAACTGACTTCATCCTACTCATTTGCAACTGAATCAATATGTCGGTATTGTGATGAATAAACATCTATTTTCGTAACAAGTGCGCAAAGTGTTATACGCACGAAAATACAGTAAAACAAGGAGCGTACTTCGGAAGTAGGTATAGTTTTTCTAAATTCTTCATATCAGATGAAAAAATGGGGAAATCATAATTTTTCATTCAATACTTTTCAATTAAACTTGAAAGAAAATATTAAGTATGAAAAACATTGTATATTATACGATTGAAATTGATACTTCATTGTTCATAAAATTCATAATAAAAAATGATTATTCACATTATACCAATGCAATATTTGAGTAGGAAGTGTAACTTTGCCGCATTGAGCGCGGAAAAATGTATCTGAAACTTTGCGCGTAAAATAGTAGATATGCGAAAAATTACTACTCACTTTGCGTGCGCTCGTATGCAATAGTAATTTTCCAAACAAGTACGGAAAGTGATACTTTACCGCACGCGAATGCCGTTGACCCGAACGACACTAAGCGGAGTTCGGGCAAGCAGTTGAGTGTGGGAAAGAAACTTTACGCTTGAGTAAGGAACAATATTTTTTCAACAAGCGTATAGAAAATTGATTGATATGTTCAATCCATCATTCCTACAAATAGGAACAACTACCAATAGTGATATATCTATTGTGTGTACCGTTTGAAGCATTATGTAGGTAGGTAAGCTTATTGTGGAAGCCAGCATGCCCATGGTGTTTGGCCTCTAGGTTTCAGACATTTCTAGGAAATTAGCCAAAAATACTTCTTTGATGGTGTTTTCACTTTTTTCTATTGCACCATTCAATTAATCCCGTGTAGTGCTTCTCATACCTTTCTTAAGACTTCGTTGGCAATAGCTCATCTGTATCGCACCTGTAGCTGGAAGTTTTTCATCGCCATTCCACTGAATCGATAATGACAGTAACGCTCTGTCTGTCAGTCTGAGAATTACTTAATACTGCAACAAAAAAACCTGGAATTTTCATATGATGACACCCACCACTCATATTTTGCGAGAATATTATATAAATGTTTTTCCCCACTAGTGTGGGAAAAAGTTTCCCGCACTACTCTGCGGGAAAATGATACTTCCCAAACTAAATTGCGAGCGCGTATAGGGTGAATCACGCACGCTTGTAGAAAAAACCCTTTTCAAGTCAGATTCAAAACTTCTTTTTTTAATTTCCTTCAATCCGAATATCGCAACACAACCATGAAACAAAGATGGACATTCATATCTTGATTTCATTACGTACACTAATTTATAATTTATGGAATCCATTTTGGTGTAGATATAAACGTTCGCGATTTTTTAATTTAATTCTTCCTCTCATTCACATCACAGCAGATTCCCTAACTTCGATGATGAATATTATATTAGGATAATCGTAAGCGCTTTAATCTTTACTGAATCTCAAAATTCCATTTATCGAGCCATGCATCCTCCAGTCTCTTTGAGTTACTTTGAGTAAAAATACTGATCAAATCAAATTATTCAATGAATCATTGAAATCCTCCGCCTTCTTTTGAAGTTGTTCGAATGATTTTTTCTCATAGGTAGGCATGTTTTCCACGTTTTTATTCGTTTATTTGCGAATGCGGTCTGCTCCATTCGTTGAATCAATCTTTTCTGTTAACCTTTTTCTGCTGGTTTTTTATTGAACGAATTTCAAATCCCTTTCGCTCTGACGATGGCTTCGCTATTTTCTCTCAATCCATTACTTATATCCCTTCTCCAAATCGTTGATTGAGTTGTAGCCTTGATCCTGAGTCGCACACTAATGAGTTTTGCATTCAGTTTCACACCAGCTTTAATTGAAAATACCAGCACTCATTACGTAAATACAAAGAATACAATTTCACAATTTTTCTAAGCTTCTTGTTCAACTCACATCATGAGGCACTGAAGTGCAACTGAACGAATTTTGACGACAGATAAATTGTTGATGTCTATAATTAAACTTTACGTAAAACTTTAGAATTTTTCCGTTGGCTAATGATTCCAAACTATTAAGTTCATTCGCATTAGTGCTAATAGTGGACTAAAGTTCCTGATATCAACTTTTCTGAAGTCGAACATAAAGTCATTTCGAGTTTCCTATCGGTAGATAATAAATACGAGATGTTTTCACAGACAATGCAATTTTCAGGAATCTTTCGGAGTAATGGGCGACTCTGCCACTGCAATGAGAGATCCAATTTTCTACAGATGGCACGCCTACATTGACGATATCTTCCAGAGATTCAAATCAACACTTCCGAGATACACTGTAGCGCAGGTAAATATAATATGTTCTGTATTCATACTGATTCATATTCCACACATACAAAATATGGATTCGCAAATTTTGAAAGTATAGTAAGTATATAAATGATATGATGATGAAATCGACTAATAACTTTTTTAGACGAATTTATTCAGATATTTTGATTTGAAAAAATGATATATTCTACGTAATATTGGTACACTCATTCATAAACGATATTTTCATCCGTTTTCGAGAAGAACGCAATTGAACAGTTCAAAGATTTCAAATATTATTTCATTTATGGAGAGTGTGATTTGGACTGTCAGATAATTGTTGCTGGTTAATCAAATTTCTTGTCAGTGAATGAATTTTGGTGCGGGTATATGATCAATACTTTTTCGATTGAAACGCCCTGTATCTTTTTCCACAGCAATATTTTATCAAGGCATATAATGATCCTATTGCCATATTTTGATCCAAACAATCCGCCTCTAGCCATGTCCCAATAGTTATGACTCACCCTGTATAATTATTTTCAAATCAGAATATTTCGGAAACGGTACATAGTATCGAGTATTATCAGGAGAACTTTTTGGTTTTTATTTGAATGATGTTCAAGTAACCATTGAATTTGGGCTAGAAAATATAAGCTCAATATGTTTAAAACTACTTGGTACAAATCAGGTGAGTAGCGCCTTCTATGATAATAGGAAAAATGTGTATAAAACTTGTTTTTTCAAGACCCTGTATCTTGAATACAGATGCCGTTACGAAAATTTCTCACTGATGGGCAAACCCAACTTATTTTGCAGTGCACTATCTATCCTAGCAACAAGGCTACCTTTTTTGAAACACGCTGTATATATTTTTTTTAAAAATTACCACGAACATAGTCAATAAGCTATTGCATTCAATTTCAAAATAAGGGTGAATATAGTGAATAGTACTGAACTTCCTTCTCGAATTCTGAATAGATCTGTTTTTCTCAAAATTTGTAGATTAAAAGCTGTAAGGGATTTGCTACTTTTGTAATGAAATCCCAGTTTATCTTATTTCAAATTCCAGAACCGATTAAAACTATCAATCAGGTAATCAATCACTCTCCTTTTTCCAACAAGTCTTAGCTGTAAGTGATGAATTAAGTGTTCCAATACAATTCAGGTCAGTGGTTGGGATTTTCAACTGGTATCTGTTTAAATTGCAAAACTTTAATTTTATGTAAATTGGATTGGGATTGCTTTCAACATGCTGCACCCTCCGCGTTAACCTAAATTGTTCACAATTTTTCGTATCAGATGAGGCATATTTCTTTGTACCTACAAAGGCGTTCTGTTTATTTATTCTATGGAGGTTGAAATTCAAGAAATAATACGAGAACATATTCGGATTTTGCGCCTCCCCAAATCAGATTGGAACATTTGATACCGATAATGATTTTGAGAATCAGATTTACATTATACTAATGCAATGCCTCGAGTCTATTGAGTACCAAACATTATAGGAATTTCTTTTCCTGCGCTTCAAGAGATGAAAAACATGAATATGAAATGAAAATCAAATGATGAACTTTACTCTGATACTCGAGAGTATACCTACCACCAGCTTAATTAAATATTCATTGCATTTGTGAGCAGGTTGAACCACCCACAATTTTTTTGATTCAACTGACGTAACTCATTGCCCATCATAATTCTCATCAAAAAATGTCTCTATATGACTCTTCCTAAATTCGATTGGTATCATACAATCAAAGTTTGTATTTTGCCGATCAAACGAAAAAATTTGTATTTCTTGTAAATATCTTATGATCAAATCGCAAGGCACTTTCGGCTAATAAGTTCTCCTTTGAACCTCAACCAACATTTAATAATGTGTAATTTTTTAAATGTTTTGCAAAACCCATTGTGGTACTTATTTGTTGAATGTATGTCTTGTTCTTACTACGGTTTTTACCTTATGATGTTGATTACATTTTGGACCTTCGTGAAAACATTTGAGAAGAATGGCACTCACTGATAGGCTCATAAGCTGAAAACGCTTTGCGATTTGATGATAAAATATCTGCACGAAATACAACTTTCTTCATTCGATAGATCATTTTTTATGGTGTACTGCTACCAGTACCAGATACCTAAGAAGGGTTCTAGTTCAATGAGCATCATTGTTGACACTAGATCTTGGACAGTCTATTGTTAGCCGCATTGTGGAAAATGATATGGTACAGTTGGTTCATACAATCAATACATCTTGGAATATAATCGCTACTAAGGCCGGATTTTTCCAAAGCTCCACGAGTAAAAAACTGTCTATGTTTCAAGTAGTATGCAGCATACTTTGAAGCTCTGGAAACAAGCGTCACTAGTAGAGCTAATAACAGTCCCATTGTTATGACTTCAGCTTACCATTACGACCATCATTTATTACTGACAAACACTGAGAATAAATCATACATTTTAGTTGAACAACCCTGGAATCACCGTTAACGAAGTCTCCATCGAGTCAGGCGGCAAACGTAACAACATCCAAACTTTCTGGCAGCAGTCCGACGTAGACCTATCCAGAGGCATGGACTTCCAGCCACGTGGAGCCGTCTTCGTTAGGTTCACGCACCTGCAGCACCAGGAGTTCAACTACAGGTAAAGTTTCTTTGTCCAGGTCCAGTTTTACTATCTGGAATACTTACTTCAGCTTTCAGTCAATCGGGACAGTGAAAATCAATAGGTTGATACTCAACGTGATCATTTATCCAGACAAATCATTCTGGGAATTTTTTATTTTGACAAGAACTGTATGGTAGCTGGATATCAGACCCAAATGAACTGACCATGTTAAATGTAACACCAATTTGGGAAGTTATACGTAAAATTAGTATGAAAATGTTTTTTAAATATTATGGAGGACTTCATTGCGAATAATATAATTTGAAATTTGAATATTATCGAAGGGTGGTGCAGGCGGTCAGTTCTTTTTTCTCAAAAGTGACCCAGAGTAATTATGTTGAACCGCCAAAATTTCTATAGAATGGTTATCAAGTAATGATTCTTGTTATTATTCATAACATATTTTTGTTGATAATCAAACTGATATTATAATGATAGTGTTCACTTTTATTATACAGGTTGATTCAGAATATGACCGACAAGCTTCGTGTACGGATTCCTAACTTCATTTTGTCGTTAAAAGTTCTTATCAACGTGTCCTGAAATGTATCCTCTCTGAGATACAGGTTGTCGAGGATACAAAATAAATTGAGGTTTATATTAATTTCTGCGGAACCCCTGTCAGGAAAAAAAACAGGAACAGGAACATCGTTAAGCTGTGGCATAGTTACGTCGCACGTATGTCGCCAAATTTTCCTCAAAATTTTTTCTTAGACAGACGAATTGTCAAATCGCAATATACATCAGTTAGGTTCATCAATACCTATATTGAAACTAATGACATTCCACATACCTTAATGCAGAGGTTTCTCAGATTTTTTCGAAAAACTAAATATATGCCTAGACGTAATATAATGTTGAGTAGGTAGAGACCCAATTTCCTGCGTGCCATAATCGCATCACGCTGATTTCTCACTAGATATCAAAACATTTCTCAACCTTTTGACTGTTCTTGAATGTTGAGACTTTTGAAAACATAGTACGGGTGAGTCAGAAATAGATCGACAAACTTATTTTTCATTCCACACGATATTTTAAGATTAACAGTTTATATTGAGTTATGACTTGAAGTGCAACCTGTTTGAGATATAATACTTTTCTCTTGAACACATAGCAATATCACCTCAAGGCATATCTTGAGTTTTTCGCAAATATCTCAGGAACCTCTACATTTAGGCTTGTGGGATGTTATTACCTTCAGGGTGAGGATCAATAAGCCAATAACTGATGTCACACACCAATTCGATATTTTTTCCATCTAAGAAAAAATATGGAGGAAAATGTGATGACATACGACCGTGACTATGGCAGTGGTCAATGAAATTCGAGAATGAAAATTCCATATAATTACCTTGATCATCCTGGAATTCGTTATTTTTTTGCCTATAGGGGTGCCGAAGAAAGCAATTCAAACTATAATTTTCTTCGTATAATCAAAGACTGGATAATGAATGATTTCATGTACTTACAGAATCGTGGTGAACAACCAGAGTGGCGGTGCTAAGCAGGCAACCTGTAGAATATTTATGGCGCCCAAGTACGACGAGAGGGGCAACCCGTGGTTGTTCAGGGACCAGAAGAACATGTTCATCGAGCTGGACAAGTTCAAGGTCAATTGTAAGTTACCCCGCACTACACTCTAGGTAGATAAAGCCTATGCAAAGTCAGTTGGAGAAACAAATCACCGCGGGCTGTCGGTCCCTCTGAAAGTTCAAAGAGAGCGTCAGCTCCGCCCGGCATTCCTTTGATGATCTGTTTCAACTGACTTTGCATAAACTATACCGCTTATGTACTTGTTGACAGAGTTTTTCACGGAACCATCTCTGATTCGATTCTGAATATCATCTATTCCTTATTGATATATGGCGGCAGTCGTTCGCAAAGATCTATTCCATTTGAACATATTATAGACCCTCCTCAAGATCGATTAATTGTCCTCTACACTTGGACCATCAACGGTCAAGATTGTCTAGCTAATCAAGAGATATGTTTGACCAGAATCAACCTTCATTAGGGATTATGTCCTCGTAGCCACATAGCTTATCTACTGACGGTTCTGTCACAAAACCAATTGCCAACCATACGTCCACGCCATTATGCTGTGAAATAAGGTCCGAAATCATCACCCAGAGGTCCACCAAGTCCTCTGTCACCATCCCAGCACATGCCACAGAATTATATATTCACCTAGAATGCCAATACATACGGATGCGCGAAAACAAAATTACATACTACAGATAAGGTACATCGGTACGTGCACTACTGAGTTTGAGCATTGCTACAGCATCGACGTCAAATCTGAAATGTCATGTCATCGAGAGAAGTAATATGGAGATAATGAAGGGTACCTTTATTCTCCATCAATACCTTCATGAAATTTATCAAGGAAATATAAAACTATATGATTCAGTGACTATTCTGCTGGAAAATTCCACAGAACAAACAGTTCGATATATCCACTTGCCAACAGTGTGTAAAATGATGAGGGCGTTGTCATAGCTGTCAAATGGAGTGCACAGGTCTGGTCTCGGTGGTCTGGGCCACAGTTTGCCCTAGTTAACAGAGTTTTTGTCTGTATGTTGATAAGAAAACAGGAAGATAATTTTGGAGGCCGCTCCTGACCTCATTGCAATAACGCAGTTTCTCAGACGAATAACTTTTCAGTATCATTGTTGCATACTGCGCAAGCTCAGAAGTGCACGTGCGCGAAATCAATTTCCCTGCATCGGCATTTTAGGTGAGTTATAATTCTGTGGCACATGCTCCTGCCCATGAGTAGCCCTTAAGGTATACTTCAATGTACTATATTGAATCAATATCTCTAGAGAAAATCTTCGAATTTCAACAGGACTTGCGATCTTGAATCCAGTTGCATCTGGAGAGATATAACTGGTTTTTTTATGAATAAATTCAGATTGAACTGTAATCATGAAAAAGAGTATCTCTGTCTTGGAATGTTCAGGAACGAGAATACCCGGAGCCATGTAGACAGAAGCGAAGTGACACAAGCCCATGGGTGGCTCTTTGAATTCTGGAGATGTGTGATAACATAATATAAGGAATGAAAATATCCTTCCTACATGAAGAAGGAGAATACTTTTTTGAAACAATCTAACCTAACTCGACCTAAAGGAACCTTCTTTCCAGAAATTATATATTTTTTTAAAATCACTTAGGAGAGACAACTCTTCCAAAACAATTTAACCAAACTATGTCAAAATGAACCTGTCTGAAAACCATATTTTTCGGAAAGATAATTGAGTTTTTTAAACATTCTAATCTAACTCGGCCTAAATGATTCTTCTACGTAGAAAATATATTCTGAAAATGACATGAGTGAGCAAAATTGAAAAATGAATATGTTTCTCGCAAGGACTGAACCCCAGGCCACAGGCGTGGGATGCTGGCGCTTGGCTCACAGTGGTATGCCTATAAACAAGTCGTACCAGGATTGTATGGTGTGAACCTGCCTATGATGTTCCAGATTCCATTAAAAAGTAGTACACGTACACATTTGCACGTTACTGAAAAAATAGTTTGAATTTTGACACTACTTGTCAGAGTTGATAAGAAGATTGATCAAGATTGACAAGCCCGACACACAATAGCCTATATCTGATGTACGACTTGTTTATGCACACAACTGTACCACCAACTCATTTGATAATTCACGTCTGAAGAAATAATTTATTCTAGCATTGTACGACTGGGTATGAAGGCGCTGAAGGGCCACCCATACTTTTTTCTCGAATCCCGACTTTATTCTCGGGATCCCGACTTCAAAGTCGGACCCCCGATTTTAATCTCGGAATCCTGACATTAAAGTCGCACCCCCGACTTTATTCTCGGGATCCCGACTTTAAAGAAAGATTATGGAAAAAGTCCGAAACGGGTGATCTCATACCCATGTTATCATATATCATTGAACTCATCTTTCTGAGCTCCACTCAATTTTTTTGTATCTATTCAACAATGAGATTCACAGCTATTGAGAAAAATATAAACAATCACCCTGTACGTACGATAATGATCGTACATGTGTGATCCAGTTTTTGACATTCAGTGTACATCCAAAAATATAAAAGTGGTTTTCGATCGATCCTGTGATGATTATCCAATATCCACAAAAGTTGATTGAACAGATAAAACCCTACAATTTTTATATCTGAAGTTTTCTCCACTTCGTATAGTTGAAGCTGTAGGTATGGATCAGAATATAAAGAGACATCCTATACATGTGAGATCCCCGACTTTGAAGTCAGTATCCCGAGAATGAAGTCGGGATCCCGAGATAAAAGTCTGGATCCCGAGATTAAGGTAGGGATCCCAAGATTGAAGTCGGGACTCCGAGAATAAAGTCGGACCCCCGACTTCAAAGTCGGGATCCCGAGATTGAAGTCGGGGGTCTGACTTTAAAGTCGGGATCCCAAGAATGAAATCGGGATTCGAAAAAAAGAGTATAGGTGGCCCTTCAGCACCTTCGTAACTGGGCGTACATTGGAAGCCAAATACTAGAGGATGGTGCGGGAACAGGATCATGTGTCATTATGACTGTCAGACATGGCGGGAAATTCAAATTATGCGCTCTTATTGTATCGAATTTTGTCCTCGTAGCCCTATAGTTCATCTACTGATTTGACAACCATACGTCCACGCCATTTTTCCAGTGAAACAAGGTCCGAACACCATCACCCAGGCGTCCACCAAGTCCTCGGTCACCATTCCCTTCGAACGGTCCTTCCGCGACGTGGACACCAACCGGCCGCAAGGCGGGGACGCGCTTGCGCAGTTCAACTTCTGCGGCTGCGGCTGGCCCCAGCACATGCTGGTGCCCATGGGCAGCCCCGAGGGCATGGAGTGCCAGCTGTTCGTCATGCTTTCTAACTACGACGACGACAGGGTGAGTATAGACAAGAAAAATAGTCAGATAATGGAACGGTTTGTTCCATGTTGTATCACTTATTTATTTATTCATTCAATTAATTCATGAGGACACCCAGCAGACAAATAAGAAGCTTGTGCGATTACAGGATGACATAAAAAAAATTAACAATATACAGGATCATCAAAACCATCCATATTTCTCAAAGTGGTCCAATTGATTTTTATAAGAAAAAACAATAAATGTCCCAAAGTCTGTCGACCACGAAAAATTATTTATTTAAAGTAGTGTAACTAGTTTCAGCCACAGGCCATCATCAGACACACACGAAGCTGAGACGGAATTCGAAGAAACAGAAACATCATAAATCACATGAAAAGTAAAACATGACAAAGAACAAGTGACCCAAGTCAACGTCAATAACACATGACATACAAATAAAAATTAACTTGAGTGATGACACAGAATCATGACAATGACGAGTGACACCAGTCAATGTCAAATATGATAAAACTAATAAGACATTGACAAACCAAATAAACTTTGAAAACAATCTAGAGGAAATTGATCATTAATGTAACAAGTAGCTATCAATAATCAATTTTCTCTAGATCAAATAATGAGAATTCATTTTGAATTTTACACAAACTTCAGATTATCATTTAATGTTATAACAGCACAGAATGAAGAACTTCCTTTGTTTAAATCTTCACATTTTACTTCGGAGCGGAATCCAATTTTTCCAAAGTGTTTTTGTAACTAAAACTTCAATTCTTCACATCGGCATGCAATTTGAAACACGAAAGTCCCCTTCAATTCTCTTCAGTTATTTGTAACCCTTTTGAGCCCTTTCGGCCACTGCGGATTGCATGCCATATATTACAACGGCAGGCAGTATAATATTGCGGAAAAACACGAAAATTCATCACAAAAAGAAAAGCGCTTTTCCTTATGAAGGACACACATGCGGCGGCCAGGAACCTGTCTATTGTTTATATCTTGAGGATAATTATGAAGCCTGCGATGTTAAATGGGAGAATGTCACCTGTCACCATCTCCTGGTCTATTATTTCTTTGCTATTCACCGATAGTTAGTATCGACTGATGATCAATCAGTGTTATATAGGTTTGCAGAAAATGTGATGCTGAATAATAGAATCAAATTCATAACAAGAGTGTACTCAAGATCATTTCTGTGGGATCTGATAAGAGACAAGAGTATCCACAATGTGTTAATTCTTGATGAAAGATGAAATATAGTAACGGCTATATTGAAATACACGTTCAATAATCTGGTAGGTTCCTACCACAGGTTCTTACTAACTCAGTTCATATTGAAAGAGTCGCTCATTATGATAGAATTCTAGAAAAATATCGAATGTAACTTATATATTGGTTGTGTTGTTGTATCTCTAACATACAGTTCAAGACCCTTTCAATTGGAAATGTGATCACAAAAACATTTTACCGATATTCATGAGAAGCTAGTGAAGTGAACAACTCGAACCATAAACATAAACGCATCGAGGTATGATAATTTTATGGTGGCTTTCATCGACGTTGTTATTGCTTTTATCATACCGTTCCAACATTCTCATTGCCTTTTATTGTATTCACCATTTGTTCTTGATCATTAGATAGCTAACATATTCATTTTTGCTATTTGGTATTATCTTATATAATTCTACAAGAAAAATTAAATAATAATTCACATCATTTCAATTGAGTTAATTATTTCTCATGTTGAACATACCACAAACTATCAGAATATTATGCTTGAAATTGGTATCGACCCCAGATTTCTTGAGAATTGCATTATTCAGATAAATTTGTACCAGAAGTTCACAGTATCCCGAAGTGGTGTCAATAAATGTAGTAGTATTTAGTAAAACACCTAGTCATCTCCACAATCATTTATTATATGACATGTATGAGAATATTATGAACAATTCTCTTCCTAGCTCGAACGAAATATGTTACTTGAACAAGTTGAAGGTGCATTGCAAGGTCCCGTTTCAGGGCCACAATATCTTTTTCAGTAACCAGTAACATCGATATCTTTGAATTTTATGAGGCAGAAGCGTATCGTTCGGATACGATCGGACACTATGGGCTCAACGAACTGTGACCTGAACGTGATGTGGCTGCAACGAGATGCTCCTTTCTAGATGACCTAAATACTCTGAATTGGAAATTAATTCATGATAACCAACTTTCAATACCTTATAAATATACCTATTTGATTTTTCTCAGATCGATCAGAGTACAGAAGGAACTTGTAATGACGCTGATAGTTTCTGTGGCATCAAGGACAGACTCTACCCCGACCGGCGTTCCATGGGTTACCCCTTCGATAGGCAACCGAGGGACGGTGTCGATACCCTACAGCAATTCCTCACCCCCAACATGAGGGTGCAAGACGTTGTCATCAAGTTCACCAACAGGGTGTTCAGACCGAGACAGAGGAACTAGATTGTTACGATTTGTTGAAATTGACATACTTGATGAAAATTACATTTGGAACTGATTTTTAATGTATAGATTTGAGAAAATACATCTTAGTGCATAACTGTAGTGTTTCATTACAAATATACCTAATAATTTCCACTAGAAAATTCATCCTTGCAAAGAAAAATATAGGGTATCTGTATAGAAGTTCAGTACCAGAGTTCCCTCCAGAAAATTCTGAGACTAGATTAAAATGATCGAGCCCAATTTACCTGTGTCTAAAAGTTGATGTTTTCTGGAATACAAGGTTCAATATGACAGGAGATGATCAATCGAGATCTGATCACAATTTATAAGTACAGGGAAGACCAAATTGGACACTCAATATGGTTAAAACCACATATCGATATCTCTCTTCTTCCCAGAGTAACAAGGTGTTCTTCCAAAATGTGCATTTTCAAAAAGTGGCTACAAATATTTTATTGTCAGTACTGACATCCGTTTCCTCCTATTGAATTTGGAAAAAGGACTTTCCTTCTGATAGTTTCCAATTTGGCATACTCTCTGTACATTGCAGATGGTTCCACTAGCAGAACTGCACCTATATATGTAACTATATGAAGCTTCATAATTTTTTTATGCTTTGGTATGCTGAATTTCTTGTTGAGAATTCTAATTCTCTAAAATTTCGGCCAAACAGGTATATTCAATAGGTGTCGCCTCTAGCAGATGTCTCAGGTATACTTGATCAAATTCAAATTTTTTATCATCTACTGACACCCGTTCTAACTCCCAGCAACACTTTATCCAGATCTCGATCGTCAAAAACTCCTCAGGACCAAATTTCGTGCTAATACTTGTTTTTATCATATCGTAAGATTTTGGATTATGGATTATCGATAATCACATGTATCGATATCATCAATTCATCGATATAATCAAAATTCTCGATATATTTTTATATAATGAGTAATGAGTATTTGGATAATTTCTAGATTGTTTAGTAGGGTTTCTATCAATAGGCATTGTAAATATGTGGTCACATCGTGGATATCGCAAATTATGACAGCACATTATCAACAACATCGCAAGAGAAAGCGAAAATGTTTGCAGATATGGTTCGTAGCAAACTCCACCCTAGATTCTCAGGGAAGAGTGCCGCCAGACTTTCCACCCGTTGAAAGTGGAATTCCCGAAATTATCGTTCGTGAACGCCCTATCAGATGCATTCTGCTCGGTCTCAAAACGAATAAGGCGAACGGTCCTGATGGAATTTCACTCATTATTCTCAAAAAGTGTGTACTAGAATTGACAACGACTCTCTGCAAGTTATTCATCGCATCTCGTACAAGTCGGGGTTTTTTCCATCTTGCTGGAGAATAGCCAGTCCAACCAATCTCAAAAAAAAAACAAAAGGCTGCCCAACAGATATAGGCCAATTGCTCTATTATCAGTCATCTCCAAAGTAATGGAGGAAGCCATCAACATTGAGCTCCTAAAATATCTGAAATGCTCAGTAACTCAGTAATCATTAATGATAGACAACATGATTTTCGCAACTGAAGATCAACTAGACATTTACTTGTTACCCATTTATGTCAAGCTTCATTAGAAACACATTGGGAATCTCTAGCTGTAGCGTTGAATATATCGAAGGCATTCGACCGTGTTTGGCACCAAGGACTCCTCCACAAACTACGATCATTCGGCTTACCACCTCATCACCTCTGTGCCATCTTTTAACGACTTTTCTTTCAGGCAGTTCCCTCCATGTAGTGGTGGACGGAGTATCGTCTGATACCATTTTCATCAATTCTGGCGTACCACAAGGATCAATTTTGGCACCAACATTGTTCCTACTTCGTATCAATGATCTGTTGGAAGCTATACCACTTGCCCTATCCATAGCTTTGCAGACGATATAGTACTCCCCATACCGCATTTTTCTCCAGAATTCAAAGTTCTCCCCAGGAATCTAAGAACTCACGACGAAGGCAGGTCAACGTTGTCAATGACGATCTTGCTGAAAATCAAATCAAATCAAATCAAAATATGCTTTATTGTCACTTAAGAATGTAATCCTTGTAGACAAAGCTGAATAGGTTATAAAAATAAAATAATAAAATAATGTATACAACAATTATCAACATAAATACAATTTTTCACAAACATGTGCACACATAAGGCTTCGTCTAAAATACTTGTTCATAAAAATCATTAACATTATAAAACACATAAGGGACTAACAAGTTTTTCAATTCCTTCCTGAATTTTTTTATATCCGAGATAGATTTAACAATAGTTGGGAGGTGATTGTACATTTTCAGGCCATTATATAATATGGAATCTTTTATTAGTGAACTGCAGGGCCGGGGAAGCTTCACCATCTCTGACTGGCGTGTGTTGTAACATGAGTTCACGACTTCGTAATTGTCTCTGGTTTTGTGAATCAAACACACCGACTCTATAATAAACAAGGATACTACTGTTGACACTCTGTGCTCTCTGAATAATTCTTTACAAGAGGTTCTTGAACTAACTTTGCATACATATCTTAATGCCCTTTTTTGTAAGATGAATGTAGACTGTAAATTATGGTTGTTACAAGTTCCCCAAAATGCAATTCCGTACCTCAAATGGGATTCTATTAGAGCGTAATATGCCGTCATAGCAGCAGAATAACCCAACTCGTTTGATATCAATCTGATAGCATAGCATCCTGATGCAAGTTTATTGCATAAGTCTGAAACATGCAGATCAAATTTCAGTTTTTTGTCCACAAAAAGACCGAGAAACTTTGCGTTCAATTTATTTTCTATAATTTGATGATCCAGAGATAAAAGAGGCAACTCACATCGGAATGTTATCAGGTTCGTTTTCTGAATATAGTAAAGGAAGTAGGTTCGATTTGCTCCATTGATGGATAATTTCGACGTCTTTGGTTATTTTAATCTGTAGGGTCTCCACAGATCTATCACTCCATAATATGGTAGTGTCATCAGCGAAGAGAGTTATTTTCCCGGATATATTCAATTTAGTCATATCATTGATATATAGCAAGAACAGCAACGGCCCAAGAACCGAACCTTGAGGTACTCCATGATGAATATTTGAGGTATCCGAGGTGACATTATTGATACGTACCAGTTGTTTTCTATTATTCAAGTATGAATTCATCCATTGCAAGCTTGAATCACTAAACCCATAGTAATGAAGCTTCCGAAGCAGTATTCCATGATCAACACAATTAAAGGCTTTTGAAAAGTCACAAAATACTGCAGCAGCAACCTCACCACTATTGATGTTTTCATAAACCTTGTACATGAAGGAGAAAAGGGCATCATTTGTGCTTTTCCCATGTTGAAATCCGAATTGTTCTGATGCCAATATATTATTGGAATCCAGAAATTGAATAATTCTTATTTTTACTATTTTCTCTATAATCTTAGCGAGTGTCGGAATAAGCGCAATGGGGCGATAGTTTGATGGTTCGTCTTTGTTTCCTCCTTTGTGAATGGATCCGATCCATCCCGGAAGCTGCTTCAAAAAAACTCGGATTTTTATTCCTTGCGAAAATCTACTTCACACCTCAACAGCTTCTCATGATCAACAAAGCACATATACGGTCAGTTGTAGAATATTGTTTCCATATGGGTTTATCATCGATACATAAGTTGAAGCTCTAAGATTCCATCCAGAGACTACACAAGTTAAATTAAAATCCAACACCTACCTCCTCTCTCTACCCTCCCTAGGTACGCTCTGTGTGAACATCATACGAATTTCCTTCCATGTGCTCCAAGAGATAAAAGAAGACACTGTGAAAAAACTCATTGTCTTGATGTATTCTAATGCCCTCTAGCTCCTCATTAGTGGGAATACGTATATTGTATAAACTAGAATATCCATAATATTTCTTTAGGATCTGTCGAATACTTTTTTCTGTAAAAAATATTGAATCTCCTGGTATATCAAAACATATTTCATGCATCTAATCTCTGCTGTCAGATTTAATCGATTTGAAATCGTTATTTTCCTACTGTTATTAATGGATGTCTAGTTCTCTAAGGTTGTCCTATTGTTATAGAACAAACATACTCTTGGAAAAAATCTACTACATGATTAACGAGCATAACCCGAACTAAAGAGTTTCATTCAATTCTCGATTACTGAATTGCTTCATGATGGTGAAAGATGTCTGCGAAGTTTTACGATGAGAACAAAGAATCATTGTATACCTAGGTATTGAAGTTCGAATACAAGTTTAATTTCAAAGGCATATCGTCTGAAATTCTCACGACTATTATAGATGAAACCGAGAGTATTATGTATTTTGCATTATCTTGCTTCGATTCAGAAGACCAAACACAGTGTGTTCTAGAAACATCAGAGATAAAAGCACTACACCTTTTTCGGTTGTAATTATTCAGAAAGTATAACTTGTAATTCAGATTAGTGAAATGTAAATCAGAAAGTGTCACTTGTAATTAAGAATAGTTCATTGCAATTCAGATTATAGTTAGTTGTAACTCAGAAAGTATAACATGTAATTCAGATTAGTCAGAAAATTTCACTTCTAATTAAAAATAGTCAATTAATGTAATTCAGAAAGCATCAATTGCATTTCAGGAAACATAACTTACAATTCTCTCTACCCTTATATTTGAGGTCATGGTATAGTTTTTCTCGAGAGAACAATAACGAATGATCTATTATGTGGTGAACATCAATATTTTGAATTTATCGACCATCTGGCATAATCATTATCTAGTTGAATTCAATGCCACCAAAACGCAAGCCTGTATTTTATCTAGAAAGGCGGGACTCAGTATGCCTGATATATAACAATGTCTGGTACTACCATACGCTGATGCTCTTAGATTCCATCCAGAGAAGAGCCATTCGCCTGTTGGGGTTGCCACACTCACGAACTCTCTGACCCCATTAGAACACCGTTCTCCGACCGACCTCTCACTTTTCTATAGATACTTCTACGGGAAATGTTCCTCAGAAATCTCTGCTATAATTCAATCATTAGCAATACCAGTCAGACGAACTCGACAGACTCAGTCAGCACATCCCTTCGTCGTCAACGTCAACACTCTACTAAAACTTGT